TTTGGACTCTTGGACTTACACCAGTGGTTTGCCAGGGGCTCTCGGGCCTTCAGCCACAGACTGAAGGCTGCACTGTTAGTTTCCCTACTTTTGAGGTTTGGGGACTCAGACTGGCTTCCTTGCTCCTCAGCTTGCAGACGGCCTATTGCGGGACTTCATCTTGTGATCGTGTGAGTCAATACTCCTGAATAAACTGCCTTTCATATATACATCTATCCTATTAGTCCCATCCCTCTAGAGAACACTGACTAATACACCCTTCTTTGTCTTACAGTGGAAATTATCCAGGAGAGAAGAAACAATAGGGCAGAGAAGAGACGCAACAGGAGCAAAGTCCCTGAGAAAATGAGATGGGATTGGAAGCACAGTGGAGTGACTAGCCAGGTGTGCCTGCCGCTGTTGCACTGGAGAAGCACTGAAGCAAAGCACTGCACATGAGCTCACAAGACCCTCCAGAACTTTGATATGTGGCCCAGAAGGAAGAAAGGTAAGGATGAGAAGATGTGACTCTGGTATCAGATTCACTAGGGAGGACTCAAGTCGTCCAGCCTGAAATAGCAGCAGCCTCTACCACTGACGGATGATTTGAACAGGCAAAGTATTTAGTAGTGTTATTGTTTGAGAAAGATGTAGCCAGGGACGGGGAAAAGACACCATTATCCACTGGATTCAGAAGTCAGAAGGAACAACACTTGGCTCAGGAAGGTCACTGGCTGCTGGTGCTATGTGTGGTAAAAACAGTGGGATGACCCTGGAAATTAGGAAGGAATTCCCATGGGGAAGGCATTTCAAAGAACTGGAATAGTTAGAACTAGAAACGCCTCCCTGATCTCATCCATAGTACTTCTCCCATACTATCCCCTCAGCTCAACACTTTCCCAGGTTTCTATTGGAAAGCAAAATCTAACTATCCACGTTTCACTGATAAAGATTCTCCAGAATATATTCATTGTTTAGCCAAACAGTGTGTCAGTTGTTTACTGACAGTTATCTTTTCTGGGTAAAGCATGCCAATAATAGCTTCCCCAAATACACATGAGATACCCCCATATACACTTAACTTTGGGAAATTAATTTACATTCAATTTGTTAATAAAGCTGAAAAATTTAACTAAAGCAGTAGGAAAAAACATTTCTGCCTTCAAATGCATTTTTAAATCAAATTCCAAGTGATATCGTGAGTCACATTCACTTTATAGAACAAAAAGTCACCAGTGGTAAGAAATGTTTGGATTATATTGTATCCTTAAGATATTTTTAAAAATCAAAATCAATTATTCATTTTAAACATCTATCTTCACATCCTGACTTTAAAAGAAAGAGATTTATCAATTAATTTATCAGTCTGTTTGGAAAGGAGCAAGAATGTTTTAGCTTTAATATATTTTCTGATGCATTTAAGAGAAAAAAATAAATCATTATGGATTTTGCAAAGTGCATTTTTATCTTTCTCTCTAATGAGATAGAGAAACAAGAGACATTCATTGCCTCCCTAGGGAATCTCATGATTTACAAAGAATATCCTTCTCTGAAGCATTTACCCATAAATGGCCAGCCTGTACAGCCAGTGATTACAGGAAATATATACAGGCCCCTCATGACCCCTTATCATTTTTCTGGCTAATGCATTAAAAGAGGAAGGGGGAAAAGTTGCAAAAAAGCACTGTGTTAGAGGCTCCCCTTCTTTCTGGCCTACAAGGAGTCCCCTTTAGCCTCTGGCATGTGTTGCTGGGTCACATGGCAGAGGTAAAAAGGCAAAAAGAAGTAAATTTAACATGGAGTCCACAAGTGTCATCAGTAGCGGTAGGCTTGGGAGAGGAGGAGAGAAGAGATGAAACTGGTCCCTGGACTTTTACAGGATGCAGAGCAAGGCCCCTGGAAGACAAGAAGGTCCAGAAATGGAAAGAACATGGCTATTAGTACATTCCAGGTCAGAGGACACACAGGTGTGGCCTGAACTTCCTTCTTCAACAATAAATGCTATCAAGAAAAATTACTGTGAAATAAGCATACAAATACACATCAGTGAGTGGTAACACAAATGTAATTATTGTAAGCTATATTTGTATTGGTTAGGCACCACATTTACAAGAAACCACAATGCGCTATCTATGCTATTTGTATTTACTTATAATAACTCAAGCTACGTCTCCACCAGAAGAGTAAACAGCTCTATCAAAAATCTTATCAAGAGAAAAAATATTTAACTATGCACTTGAAAAATTTGGGTTCTAGTCTCAAATGTTGAAGCTTAGAATTAATTAAATTTTGTTGTTAACTTATACTCTTTTAGCATATTTCTTCTTCCTCTTTCCTGTTGGTCTCCATGTGCTGCCAAAATGATGCATAATCCCCAGGGTTTACAGTTCTTCATTCTCTGTAAAGTAGGGTTTTTTTCCCCAGAGATAGGAAAGGTACCAGGAAAAAAGGAATAGTAGTTAATCAGTTTACAGTTAATTTTACCTCGCCTACTTTCAGAAAAATAATCTCAGTTTGCCATGGTCCTGGATCCCTTATCTGTAAAAGGTTCACTTTGTCATCTTTGTCTTACTCTGAAATGCTTAAATTTACTTAAGAATTTCAGCACTGAGGTGTATACACACACACACACCCTCAGACACAGAGACATAGGTGTATCACTTTATCGAGATATATTTCACATACCATACGATTCTCTCAAAGTGTACAATCCTGTGGTTTTAAGTATATTCACAGAGTTGTGCAACCATTGCCACAATTAATTTTATAACAGACCTTCTAAATTCTCTCAGTCACCATACAGATAGAAACCAAGGTCCAGATGGGTTAAGTTATGTTCCCAAGATTACAGAGCTGCTCAGTGGCTGCGCCAGATCTAGATCCCTGGGAATTATTTTAGCCATTGACACCATCTGGGGCTCCCTTCCCCGGCCCCAGGAAAGTTCTAGTGAATTAAAACCTGCTGTTAAAGTGTCGTCTGAGAAAAACATCTGGCATTTTTTATTATTGCGCCCCCTCATATTATATTAAACCGGTCTGATTTCTCCACCAAATTGTTGCACTGCAAGATTTCTTAGAAAGACTTCTAGAACCTATTAAAACATATCTACTGAGTACTTTCACCACAAAATATGGCTAGGAAGCCCAGAGAGAATCTGTGATGCCTTTCCTTCCAGATAAAGTTATAAATTATTTAAGCTCATGCAAAAAAAAAAAAAAAAAAAAAAAAAAACTAAATTAGACCTGCTCATTTCATTTTTAATGGACTGATTACAGGTAGTTAAACCAAACTACCCATCACTGGCAAAATATTTCTCCAATGCCAATAACTTCCAAGGATTTCAACCATTCATTATGATTACTGGTCAGAAACCAGCTTAAATCACCCAAGGGTTTACGTTTTTGGTTATCTCTGAGATTTGCTCCTATGAAGTCCATACCCAATATAGGAAACGTTTTCTAAAGGAGGCTCATTTCCTGCCAATGCTAAGGGACCCAGTGTAACAAGCACAGCCAGCGATTACTCTGGCACTGCCCTGCCCACAGCGGCGCTCGGCCTCCTGGCTGTACCATCTGAGAGCACTCCACAATACCTAGCTCGCAGAAGCACTTGCTGATTGCTCCTGCCTTTAAATGTCCCCCTTCCATGATGCTCTTCTCTCTCCTGTAATCTACGAGTTCTTTCTTTCCTGAGTTGTGCCACCCCAAAATTTCATCTATTCAATAAATATTTATTGAGTGGTCACTGCTCATCCAGTACTGGGCTAAATATTGTCCCTAAATGCGGATGCTCTCTAGAGTCGGTCTTTAACTCACTGTGCATTTTCTCACTTTTGTCTGCACATACATTTTAAAATTTCTGTTTAGGATGGAAATCACCAAAAATTTGTAGCTCCAGTACCGGCCTCATCCCCTGAGCTCCAGGTCAGGATATGCACCCCAACCCAGTGGACGTTGAATGAAATCTGTCTACCCTGGTTCTAGCAAAATTGGAGCTGGGGTTGGGGAGAGAGGTGGGAGAAGCAACAGATGCGGCGGTGCTGGTGGGGAGCAGGTTTTCCAACGTGAGCTCTGCCACAGCAGGAAGAGCCTGCAATATTGACGTTGAAAAACAAATTTGCGTGTCGTCAACACACACACGCGCACACACACACGCACATCAATTTCATGTCTCCCTGCCTGTTTTCCTCTTTCCTCTGCTCAGAACGCCCTTCCTCCTATCCTCCCTCACTCTCAACCATAATTCCTCCTCATACTTAATTCTCGAATGGTATGTCTCCTCCTCTGGGAAGCTCTCCCTGACGCCCGCACTGTGTTATTTGCCATCCTCGGTGCGTGGAGGTGTGTCTAGCACTGTTTGTTTACGTGTCTGTCTCCGTGTCTCCCCAGCAGGCTGTCAGCTCTTTGAGAACAGAAACGTGATGCACAGCCCCAGGCCGACACCGGGAAGCGGCGGGGAGGGGAAGGACCGCGGTAGAGAGCCCTAGCCCGGGAGTCGGGCACAGTCCAGCCGGGGCCATTTCGAGGCGCGCGCGGGGAGCTCCGCGGGGCCCAGCCAAGCGCCAAGTACACTTCATCTCTGGAGGCGCCGGTGGCCGGTGGAGGATGGGCCCCCCACGAGGCGCTCCCAACCAAAAGGCTGGGGACTCGAGGGAGGCCCTGCCGGCATCGTTCGCCCTGTGGGTCGTCCTCCCCACGCGCGTCGGGGCCTCCCCACGCCCACTCTGTCTCCGGCGCCCGAGTCCCCGCGGCCACCACCTCAGCCCTCAGCTCCGCAGAACCTCTCCGATTTACAGCGGCCCAGGGCAGAGCCGGGGGCTGGGGAATGGGAAGGAGGAGGCGCCAAGACGCCGAGGAGAGAGCAGGCGGCCCCTCACCCCACCCTCGCGCCCTCCTAGGCGGGAAGAAATTGAGCCCCGAGGGAGGCCCTTCAGGGAGCCCGAGTCCCAAAGGCCCGGGAGCCTGGGGGGGAGCAGCCTCCTCGTCCCCCTTCCTCCTTCCCTCCTCTGCGCAGTCCCTACCTGGCTGGCTTTGTGGAACTGCTTCTTCAGCCCGGCCACCGACATCGCGACTGCGGCCGGCCGGGGCCGGGTGGTCTCAGGGCTCTGCCGGGCCACGCGGCCGCGATGCGCTTGGGGAGCGGGAGCCCGGGCCGGTCCCCGTGCGGCTGGGCTCCGCCGGGCCCGCCTCCCACGGCCACGGCCACAGCCACAGCCGCTGTCACACTCGCACACACGCGCGCACGCCGATGGCAACACTGCGTTCCAGAGCCCCTGCGCAGCCCATTGGCCGAGCCGCGGCGATATGCAAATGAGGCCGCTGGGGCCGCCCACGCTGCATTGTTGCGTGGAGACCTGGGCGACTTGAGCCACGCAGAAGACCGGCCTGGGAAGCTGGGCGTGGGGATGTGCCGGGGGTCGGGGAGTACAGGCGCACAGCGCTTCTTGCTGGGCGCGGGACGGTATAGATCTGGCCCTGAGATTGTCCTGGGTACCTGGAGAGAGATCAGTTCTCTCTGTTTCTGGGTCTTGGTGCGAAACCGGCTTTGGTTCACAGGCAACATCGCCTCCCTCCGGCGCATTTTCGGTAGGTGTAAGTTCAAGAAAGGAATGCTCTGAAACGCGCCTAGGGAGAGAGAAATGCCACTGGATGGGGAACCTGTAGGAGGAGGAAGCGGTCTGTGGGTGGCGGGCTTTCTCCTCTCTCCACGCGGTGCAAACTGCTCAGATGATTTTGGTCTCCTGGGAGCCCTAGAGTTATGGAGCAATTTACTAATATATATGGTGCTAGCCTACTTGGTGCTCTGAGCCCTCTGTTAACTGCACTAAAAGCAACCGTCTCCAAGGGGCCATAAGCAGCTCCTTGCCTAGCCGGGGGAGTCCACCAAACCAGGGACCCAGCTCCCTCAGTAACCCCTGCCAGCGGTGTCATTTGCATGGGGTCCAGAGTTCTGCAGGCCCACAGCCAAGCCCAGCCAGGGACATGAAGCATTGTATTGACCTCGTGTCAGAGCTCTCCCCAAGAGGTACAGCATCTTCGCTGAATCTGGCTTCTGAAGGTCCTGAGGATTCCCAAGACCTAGAACAAACTTTTGGCAACGCTTCACACTGAAAACAAAAACATTTCCCAGCTTCAGTCTCTTTTGGGGCCCTTACCAGGTTCCATCTGGAGTGACCAGCAGTCCCTGTCTACCCTGGACACTTCGGGTGTATGCCTGTGCCCTGGTGTCCGCCTGCCATAACATTTCTCCAGGACAAAAGTCATGCAGTTCCTACCCTAGCCATTAGCTCCCAGCGCCCAGTCAGAGCTAGTTCTTACCCCGACTTCATCCTTTTGAGGACTGGGCAAGTAACTACACACCTCTCTGGGCCTTGGTTTCCTCACTTCCACTTGGATCATGCAGACTGGAATAAGCAATGTTCCTCCTCTGATACTGGGGGAAAACATGTTTGAACTTAGTGGCAATCCTGGGATAAGGGCAGCTAGTTGGAGGGCTAATGAGTATGACTTGGGTGAGTGCCGTGGGTTTGCCCAGCTGACACCAGCCACTGATAGATAACTAAAAGGGTGGTGACAGCTGGGTCAGAATGGCATAGCTAGATGACCTGTCCACACAACAGTCCAAATGCCTCTCAATAGTAGGCTCCACCGCAGCCCAACCACTATGTAAGGCAGAGAGCCAGCTGGGGTCCAGTATTGGCAGGTGTCTCTTGTCCTGGGCTATTCAGGGCTGCTCAGCTGCCTCTTTCTCCATGCTCCAGAGGGGTTTAAATAGCACAGGTTCTACGGTAACTCCCCCTAGACCAGTCTGGCTCTATGCCCTTTGGGAAGAGGGTGCTTTTTTAAAAAAAACAGCTTATTGGCATTTCCTCCACAATAGTTAGTACATTCAAGTTTCCCACTTCAGTTAATCTGGATAATTTATCTCCATTAATCAAGTATAGAACTGTAGATCATAATTTTTAAACTTCAGAATCTTTCATGTACGTTTTCTCCTCCATAAAAGTTTTTGTGACTTAATTTTTTCAGTGAATAGATTCGTTGGAGGTTTTCTGATTTTATTGATCTTTCAAATCAATTTTTATTGATCTTTCAAATCAACTGCAAATCTGATTTTTGAATGTATTCATCATTGCTATAGATTTTTCTCTCATTGATTTTTCTTTCTTTATTCTTACACATTCCTTCCTTAAGTTTTATTAAGAAGACTAGCGAGAGTTTGAGGGTTTGTTTTGTTTTGTTTTAGACTAACTGTCGCCCAAGCTGGAGTGCAGTAGCATGATCTCGGCTCACTGCAACCTCTGCCTCCTGGGTTCAAGCAATTCTCCTGCCTCAACCTCCAGAGTAGCTGGGATTACAGGCACACGCCACCACACCTGGCTAATTTTTTGTATTTTTAGTAGATATAGGGTTTCACCATGGTGGCCAAGCTGGTCTCGAACTCCTGACCTTGTGATCCGCCCACCTCGGCCTCCCAAAGTGCTGGGATTACAGGCATGAGCCACTGCACCCGGCCTGAGGGTTTTAATAATAGAAACTGACTCTAGCTAATGTAAGCTGGAAAATAATATATTGGAGAAGGATATAAGGCAGCCCAGAGATTCACAAGAGGGGTGTAGGGAACTAGGTGGAGGGGATGAGCAGGAATTAGGAACCTGAGCGCTGAGATCCACAGGGTATCCAGGAACAGCCTGATTGGGATATGCTGGCTCTGCCATTGAACACTGGCCGTGGCTGCCAGAATAAAGGCTGTCCTTTCAAGCAGTCACTCCAGCTGCAAAGTAGCAGGGGCAGCATCTGATTGGTGGATTCACTCCCTGGCAGATTTCCCTTCTATAGGAAAAAGCTTCAGAGGTTAGGCAGCCAAATAATATATATATATATATATATATATATATATGTATACACACACACATATATACACATATATATTATATATATATGTGTGTGTGTGTGTGTGTATACATATATCATATATGCATTCTTCAATATATATGTTAGAAAATATGTAATACATATTTTAAAATGTATATGATATATATTATATATCAGCAACAACAAATGCCCGCTAAAGTGTATTTGGGTCTCCTTAATCTCTTTAGTTGAATATGTCTTTTATTTATTTTTATAAAATTCTGAATTTTCCTACTAAGTATGGCTTTGGTTTCGTACCTTGTTTTCATGAATAATTTGGATCTTCTATTTTCTAAATAAAACTTGTCACCGGGCGCGGTGGCTCAAGCCTGTAATCCCAGCACTTTGGGAGGCCGAGGCGGGTGGATCACGAGGTCAAGAGATCGAGACCATCCTGGTCAACATGGTGAAACCCCATCTCTACTAAAAATACAAAAATTAGCTGGGCATGGTGGCACACGCCTGTAGTCCCAGCTACTCGGGAGGCTGAGGCAGGAGAATTGCTTGAACCCAGGAGACGGAGGTTGCGGTGAGCCGAGATCGCGCCATTGCACTCCAGCCTGGGTAACAAGAGCGAAACTCCGTCTCAAAAAAAAAAAAAAAAAAAAATTGTCACTACAGTTTTGAGTTCCTCTTTGATTCAAATGTTATTCAGGACAATTTTTAAAAAGCTTCTCTAAGCTAGGCGTGGTAGCTCACACCTGTAATCCCAGCACTTTAGGAAGCCAAGGCAGGTGGATCACCTGAGGTCAGGCGTTTGAGACATAGTTGAGCTATGTAGAATATACACTCTTGCTACAGATGAACTAGAAAACTGTACACTATAAACAGAAAATGCACATTATTTCAAACCTCTATGATGTGTGTATACAATGTAACATAATAGGCTATGTTTAAAAAAAAAAAAACCTTTCAAGACATGATATTTGACAATAGTACCACAAGTCTAGAATTTAATATAGAATAAATTTTTAAAAATCAAACCATCTAGAAAAGTTGTTTTGTTTTGTTTTGTTTCGTTTATTCTGAGACAGAGTCTCACTCTGTTGCCCAGGCTGAAGTGTAGTGGCATGATTTCAGCTCACCGAAACCTCTGCCTCCTTGGTTCAAGTGATTCTCCTGCCTCAACCTCCCAAATAGCTAGGATAACAGGTGCACGCCACCATGCCGGCTAATTTTTGTATTTTTAGTAGAGACAGGGTTTCACCGTGTTGCCCAGGCTGGTCTCAAACTCCTGAACTCAGGCAATCTGCTCACCTCAGCCTCCCAAGTGCTAAGATTACAGGAGTAAGTCATCACATCTGGCCTATGCTCTTTTTCTTGTGGCCCTTGACTCTCATCTCCTTTCTCTTCTCTGGTCCACAGAGTGCTATGCTAGTATGCATTGATATTTATCTGTGTTATGCTTAGGCCAGCTTTTGAATCTAATGAGTATTTGCATTCCTTGTATGTGGCTCTGTAGTGAGTGACTCACATCTATCTGGGGGGCAGGGTCAGGGGGGTAGAAGAATTCTGGGTAGGGGTTAAAAGTGGAGGAAGCATGCTTGTTTATGTTCAAAATATCCCATCATATATCTCACAAATCAAATCTGAGCACATTCAAATGCTATGTGTTCCAATACTTTTCAACTTAATTGGTCAAAGATAGAGAGGTACTACTGTATTCTTCTCTACAGTCTCTTGCCACCATTGCGATCACGTCTTTTGCATCTTGTATTTGGGACTTTTGCTTTAAATATTTCAGTGCTATGGTGTTCTGCTTCTGGATGTTTATGATTGTCATCTCTTCCTTGTTTATTTTTTATCTGTAGAAAATAACATATTTTGTTCTACCTACAGCTTTTTGATTTCTATTTTACTTTGCCACAAACCCATATTTGTATCCTTACCATTTGGGTATATGTGCTTCTTATGTCTTCATTGGTGCTTTATTTTTGGCCCTTCATTTTGTTGTACATACATGCTCTTATAAACAGAATAAAATTTTATTTTCTTTCTGAACCAAAATGTGTCTTTGCCTTTTCCTAGAGAGATTTAAGCATTTATATTTATTACAAAAAGAAAAATATTGTCATTGTATAGTATGTTATTATTTTTCTTCTACATAGTTCTTTTGTTTGTTTGTTTGTTTTTTGATACAGGGTCTTGCTCTGTCACCTAGGCTCTGGAGTGGAGTGCAATGGTACAATCATGGCTCACTGCAGCCTCAACATGGGCTCACATGATCCTCCTGTCTCTCCCTCCCAAGTAGCTGGGACTACAGGCACATGCCACCACACCCAGCTAATTTTTTGTACAATGGGGTCTCACTCTGTTGCTCAAGCTAGTCTCAAACTCCTGGGGCTCAAGTAATCCTCCTGCCTTGGCCTCCCAAAATGTTGGGATTATAGGCATAAGCCATCGTACCCAGCCATAGTTCTTTCTTCTATCATTATTATCTATCTATTACTCCAATTTTCTTTGCTTTTTCTTCCCCTTTGCTTTTAGAAATTATTCACATAATTTTTACTCAATGAGTGATTACCATTGACCCAAAATATATTTGAATTTATATT